GGGCGTTTTCATACGCGTTTGGCCAATCAATGTCTACTTACGTCACGATTAGTACCAGTTGTGCTGGTTAGACCCTGCTCCGGAGTAGGAGCTAATTTGGTTCTCGAAAAAGGCAGTCCGGTACTAAAATCGCTCCCAGTTCCGGCGGTGCGAACACGCCAAAAAGTGGGTAGTTCCACAATTAGTTCTGGTACTATGAAAAGGTTCCTGCGGTGCGAAAGGCCCTATAAATAAAATAGGTGCGAAAAATGTGAAATGTACACGGTGTTCCACAGTATTCCATTACCATAGTATTACCATAGTACATATCTATTAAAAACAAACCAACAAACAAAAAAAACCTTGGTAATACTATAGTACTCTTTGTAATTGTCATGCATTCTGACCTTTCAGCATTTTGACAGCTACACGTGTGGCATTGTCCTCTTTGCCCAGGCCGTAAGCTGTGGCCTCCACCACCTTCCCAAAGGCTCCTGCTCCCAGAGTCTTTCCTGCACATACAACCACCACAATCACTCCATCAGTGACTGCATTCTAAATGCACAGGCTTTGATGAAATTCCCAAAGTGCATAATCTTGTATTACACAAACCGAGCTTTAGTTTGTCTCGAGGAAACTCCCATTTCTCATTGTATGGTAGTTTTGTCGGGTCAATGAAGGTGTAGTTGTTTCCATTTGTGGCTTCAATGATTTTCCAGCGGATCTCGTATCTGGGTTTCTACCGCAAGACACAAACTAGAGTTCAGTCTGCTGTTGAAAGGTTTTACACACATATCAACACAATACTGCGGAGTAATTCACTGTGTGCAATCAACAGGTTTGAAATATTTAAAAGAACGTGATGTTCATGAGTTTATGGACGTGTGTGTCGATAAGAGTCAACAGGGATGGTTTAATTTCATTTACTGTTCACACAGGACTCCACTCAAAAATGAAAACCCTATGAATATCTAAAAAACAAAAGCTGCTTTGAAACAATGTGAATTGTGATATACATATAAATTTGACTTAGGAAGATCTGTACATGAGATTTGATCAGGGTTGGAGCTGAACTCTGCAGGAAGGTAGATCACCAGGAACAGGGTTGGACACCCCTGATTTAAATGATTAAACTGAATTGTGACATGTAGCTGGTGTGAAAAACAAGAAGTGTGGATTCATTTGAATACGTTTTGGCCGATCAAGCAGATTTGAGTTTGGAAGCAGCTGTGATCATCTCACCTGTTTGTACTTGTAGATCATGAAGATGAGCAGCAGCGCTAGAACCACCATCGCGACTATAGATCCACACATAGCGCTGGTGAAGAGCTGATCTGAGACAAAAACACACTCACATGATCAATACACCAGGGAGATCAGCTTGTGTTCTTTCTAAGAACCGTCTAAAGCATTTGTTTACCGGAGACGTCCATGGCGAAGGTGTCGCTGCCTTGTCCCACCAGATTGAAGGCCACACACACCACGGTCATCCTCTGGTTGGACGGTCCCACGGTCAGGACGCTCTCCACACCCACCGAGCCGTACGGATCCTTATGAAATGCCAGCGTCTGCGTCTGGACGGGCTGAAGACCCGTGGAGTTTTCTGGGCAGCTGGTGAACACATAAAATACAATAATAATCAAATACAACTTCAATACGACAATAATCAAAGCTGCTCCTGCTGAAAGAGTCATTTTAGACAATCTAGAATCTGCACTAATTACACTGTTCTGCATTATATCTGCCAAACAAATCCAATACTTGAAAAAAAAAAAACTGCGTCTGTTCAAAAAATGTTAAATTCTCAGCTCGTTTCCAGATGTATGACATGATTTTATGCCTAATCTCCCAGACAGAAGAAAATGCAAACATGAGTCAGATGTTTTCTGCTGCATCGGTCTTATGGTACTTATGTAAATATTGAATATTTTGAATATTTTTCGTATAAAATATTTATTAAAATCGTCTTTCCCGCATCCAAACAGGAAAAGTAAACGATAGATTTTGTGAAAGCTGATTTTATAAAGTGTAAAGTACATTAAATGGAGCATTTGAACATATTTTGGACTCATTTTCAGATTATATTAAATATTTGCAGATGATAAAATGTTTAAATCATTTAAATCATACATTTGAAATACTTATTTTTGTTATTAATGCCAAAACTTTGATTTTGATAAGCTGATACATAAATATAATTGGAAAAATATGAGTTTTTTCTAAATTTTTATTTATCTCTGCATCATCAAATTAGACAATATTGGCTGCTGTTTGAGTTGCCTGTGATGTTACATTTGATTGTTTTCATTCATTGACTTATTTTGTATCATTTACTGATTAAATCACAAGAACTTTTATTTTCCTGGTTACAAGTTAAGTGTTGCATAGCATCTGTGTCTTTGAGGTGATTAATACATAAAAAAATTATCTGGTTAAAATGTCTAATCTTCCCAATAATAATGAGTCTGAATGATTCATTATTTAAAATAGGGTAAAAAAGGTTATAGTTTCTTTAAAGAGGAAAGAAAGATGCATCTGATTACAAAAGAGTTTTTCACTGAAAAGGCTGTAGGGAATGACCTGAGGAATTGACCGGATGGTGAAAAGTGCCTTTGTATGATGGCTAGAATAATGTGCACTGATAAATCATAGAAGCAAAAATGTGCATTTCAAAAGTAAAATGGGTTTTGATTTTAAAGTCATGTTGGTTTTGAGCTCACAACAGGCTGTCAGTGTCAGATATAATGACGTACGTGGTTCTGATTCCTGTGCACTGGTACCAAAGGATGCTGGGAGCTGGATATCCATAGGACCTGCATGACAGAGTGGAGACGTTCTCCCATCTCACCGTCGCTACGGGTTTCGCTGTGAAACAGAATCAGCTTTAATGTTTCAGAAGGAAATGTTACTTGATTTCTTTACAGGTTCTGGGTTCAGAAAGTTTAGCTCTATCAGCAGCATTGATTTCCTCTAATTTTTTTTGTGTTGCAGTTGGAGTAATGAACTTGCAATGGAAGCAAACAGGCCCAAATATACAAGGAGCTGAAAATACAGACACAAACGTGTGTTAACATTGTCTGTGCAAAGTTATATAAAATATACTATTATGAACATCATTTTCCATGTTTATTGTGTTTTAAATGTATGGACAGAAGAACAAGGTTAAAAAAGATGATTTAGACAAATTTAGAGAACATTTTTAAGGAATAACTGGTAACACTTTACAAAAAGGTCTTATTAGTTATTGCCTTAATTAACATGAAAAATTAGCAATCCATTGATTGAATACATTGATCTCAGGTTCATTGAACAATATTAACCGATACAACTTTTGATTTTAATGTTAAGATTAATTTTACTTAACTTTTCTTTACATTCATCTGGAACATACGTAATATAAAACAATAAAAGTAAATATAAAATAAATAAATATAAAATAAACAAACATACTGATAACGTAAAAATACGTACAATTAAAAATGATAAATATTATTCCTCTTAAAAATGCAACTGTTGATTGTTAGTTCATGTGATCTCAAGTCCATTAAATAATATTTAATGTAAATTTGATGTAACTGATTAAAATTGATTTTAAGGGTTAATTTAACCTGCTTTTTACAACTGAAGTGCCTGAGTGTGCTGTTGGTAAAGCTTAACTTCATATTTAATCTGGAACATGTAATAAAAAAAATTATAAAATAATTATAAATAAATTAAATACATAAATCGTTATTTATTAAAATTAAAAAATAAATAAAAATATAATATATATAAATATAAAAATGTACTAAATACATGGAATTAAAATAGAAATTTTTGTAATAATTTGCAACTGTACTTACTGTACATTTTAATATCAAAAGTAATGGAGGCATTTTTCATGCTGCTCTTGACGTGGAGTGTGTAGCGGCCGGTTTCCTGGAAGTTCAGTCTCTTGAGGAACATCAGCGCCTCGTACCTATAGATTCACAACCCTCACAGTGACCTCAACATATCCTGTAAAAAGCAATCACATTCGGCTCACGAATATGTCAATCTGGCGTGCGAGTTTTAGACTGACCTGTCGTTATAGTTATAAAACCTGTTCTCTGGGAGTGAGGCATTGTGGGATGTTGGAGTCTCCCACTGGTGTGAGATCAGCGGTGGATACGCTTCGATCAAAACCCCGAGATCCACATCTTCGCCTTCGCTAACCTCGATGGACAGACCGCGGTGAGTGAGTTTAGACGAGAGCTTCGGGGAGAGTCGAATGCACGGCTCGTCTGTCACAAATCAGTGTTTTCATAGTGTTAGTGGAAATGAACTACAACCCTAACCCCTAACAACCATCCATCCATCCATCCATCCATCCACCCACCCAACCATCCATCCATCTATCATCCATCCATCCATCTATCTACACCAGTTGACAGTCTGATTTGCTCTCCGTTTCTCACCCACGACCAGCAGGTGTGTGGTGGAGCTGTTGGCTCCGGCCTCGTTCTGACCCATACAGGTGATGTTCCCCGAATCAGACAGCTGAACAGCCGGTATGACCAGGATGCTCTCGATGGCCAAACGATCCCCTTCCATCGTAGATTTCTCTTCTGCTCGGGGCAGCTGGGAATGAACCGAGAAAAACAAGTCTCTTCTGCTCAACAAGGCTGCATTTATTTGATGAAAAATACAGTAAGAATAGAAATATTGTGAAATATTATTTCTATTTAAAGTGTTTTCTATGTGGATATATTTTAAAATATAATTTATTCCTGTGATCAAAGCTGAATTTTCAGCATCATTACTCCAGTCTTCAGTGTCACATGATCCTTCAGAAATCATTCTAATATGCTGATTTGCTGCTCAAGAAACATATCAGATTATTATCAATGTTGAAAACGGCTGTGCTGTGTCATAGTTTGACGCAATCGTACCGTTCTAGAGGAGTGCGTCCATGTGACGTTGTAGTAAAAGTTGGGGTTGTTTGTGGTGCAGCTGATCTGAAATCTCTCTCCCACCAGTTTGACATACTCGCTTCTCTTCAGAAACACGTACGGTGGAAAACGTAATCCTGAATAAAAAAGTATAGAGGAGTTATTAAATGAGTAGCTTTTTTTACTTAAATATCTTGTTATAGTTTTGATGTAGCGAATGTTGTGCATCAGGGATTCCCAAACCAAATCCCTTTGACCTCCTAAAATATTTACTTGTGTGTATATAATATATAAATATTTATTAATTGATTAATTTTATTATATATAGTTATACGTATTTAATAAATATTTTATACGAAAAATATTCAAAATATTCAATATTTACATAAGTAGAATAAGATTTTAAGTTAATATCTCAATAACACATTTACACGTTCATGGTTCTTTGATGTTGGTTGATGGCAGGCAGGTAAACAAATAAAAAGATTTAATTGTTTTAAGTAAGGGTTTAATTTAAATTAGTTTTTATGTTAAAATTATTTATTTATCTATTTTACAATTTAATTGATTATTAGTTTTTCATCAAAGCCCTGCTGTCCATTGTTCATTTGGCATAAAAATAAATAAACCTTTTTGAATTCTAAAATGTTTCAATTTATTCTCATTCTTAAAATCTGCAGTTTTTGTCATTTGATTACATAATAGAGTTATTAAATGAGTAGCTTTTATTAACTTCATTATCTTTTTATAGTTTTGATGAAGTGAATCTTGTACATCAGGAATTCACAAACTTTTTTGTCAGCCAAATCCCTTTGACCTTACATATTTACTTGTATATTTAATAATAATATTACATGTAATATTAATTATATATTTAATAAATAAACATATATAATATAATTAATATTTATATATATATATATATAATTTTTACCTAAAATTATGAAGAGATTTTAAATTAATATTTCAATAATTATTTAATTAATTAAATTAAACATATGGTTTACACAATTCACTGATGTCTTTTTTTATTATTTATTTTAATTATTATTTTATTTTATTTTATTATTTTGACATTTTAGCTTTCATCAACTCCAGTTTGGCAAAACTTGTTGTACATTATTCTTTCGGCAAAATAATGAACTGGAACATTTGGAAAATTTTGTGATTTCAAACTGTTTGAAATTCGAAAATGTTTGTCTTTGGAACGGTTTGCGAAATCACAGAATTCTAAAATGTTTCAGTCTGGAGCTTTTATTCTTTGATTCATACGAAAGCACACTTGGGTTTCAGTGAAACTCACGTTGAATGACGTTTATCGAGAATATCTTCGACACTTTCTCAACCCCTCTGATTCTAGCGCTGCAAATGTAGTCGGCGTTAAATCCAGGTTGAACGTTGCGAATCAGGACGCCCTTTTTGGGGTCAAAGGTCACGTTCATGCCGTAGGGCACCGCTGAGCCGTTATCCATGCGGAAGGTGAAGTCCGTGGCGTCGGGGTCGGTCAGAAGACACGGGAGTGTCAGATCTTCACCTTCTTTCCGCACATAACGCAGAGACGTACTCGGCGAGACGAAGAGAATTCGGGGATCTACAACCAACACAGATCTTCGAGATCTTGTTTCTGCATTTGTAAAGCATGTTTAGTTCAGAAGCAGAAATGAAAGCATTGAAAGTGTTCACTCACCTCTGACAAACACATGAACCGAAGATGACTCGTTTGAATCATTTCCGCTCATATAGACGCACTTGTATGTTCCTGTAAAATCCGCCGTGGCTATATTCACACGGAAACTCCGGACGTTTCCGACCTCCTTGGAGATGAAACGCTTGTGTCTGGCCAGTCGGGGAAGCCATGTGACCGGTCCATCGCCTTCACAGATCAGATGAAGAGGAGAACCAGAGTCAAGAATCACATCCGTACCGACCGGAGCTCCAGAGTTCAGTCTGAGCCGCGGCTCAGACCAACCTGCCAATCAAAACACAGACGGGAAGCCTGACATATCAAATAATAGTCAGAAAATTAATTTTTTGAAATGGAACAGCTTGTTGAACAAAAAAAAGTTTGCGTATGTGTTTTATGTTTTGTATTATATGTGATCCATTAGGTTTTTATGACTCGCATTGTCAGATATAGTGAGAATATGGAGGAAAAAACAGCTCAATCTAACAAAATAAAGACAAAAATTTGGAAATTCTGATTGTAATGTAAATCAAGCATAACAGTATAGCGTATAGCAGATACTTAAAATGATATAAATATCAGTCGTCACTCTATATCTCCAATAATATGTCTTAGTAAGATGATATTTAAATGTTTAGTTTGATGATCAAAACATATAATGCAATGCGATATAATGACAATTCAGAGATGAACAAATAAACATTCCTCAAAAGATGTTTTAGAAGTTTGGGAAGATCCTTCCTCCACCGAGGAACGCTGAAATTAAAGCTTCTGCAAACAAAAGCCTGATTATCTTATTTGATTCTCACTGATTTTTACTGTACAATTAAACTAAAAGACCTTTTACTTGCTAAACGACGACAGCAGCAAAGTTTTGATCGTGTTAGAGGCCTTAGAAACTGGTGTTTCAAATATGATACAGTATGGTTGATAAGATGTTACTCCATATTCATTATGAGAAAACAAGATCTAAATTCAGTAAAAATAGATAAAAATGAGAATTTATCTCATCGTTTCGCAACAATGGATGGTTTGGGACTCACAATAATGACATTTTGAACACTTTCTTGACCTCTCGTCACCTCAGACATCCATAAATTTCAGCGGTTTCACCAATAGATCACTGAAACTCCTCACAGATCCACCTCCATCTGACAAACCACATCAAACGCTACAGTTTCCTGCTCTCAGTTGCACAATCCCTCTGGATTTCCTCAGAAGTCATTCATTGATCGGAATATTGACACTATCCATTGTTTTCTGTACAGCTCAGAGTCATTTCATAATCGCTGAATTTTGCAACACTGTTATTTTCCTGTATATTCCTGTGAAGCTGCATTTAAATGATCTGCATTATAAAAGTGCAATAAATAAAAGTGAATTCACTTGAATTCAGCACATGAAACTCTAATGTACTGCGTACTGCACACTTCATATTGAATACTATTTTAAATCATATGTGAAACAGTACAGAAATAGCTGAAGAATTATTATATTCTGTATATTTAACCTAGATTTACCTGCAGTAAAACCACAAACCATTCACTGTAATAGTGTGTGCTTAACTAGTTCCCTTGGTTTTTTGTTTTTACACAAAATCTGACCTATATCTTGGTTTACTAAGTTCTCTTTCAGATTTTTCAGAAATTAATATTTGCTTAAAATGTAGTCACCCTCAGGCCATCCATGACGTAGATGAGTTTGTTTCTTCATCAGATTTGGAGAAATTTAGCATTACATCACTTGCTCACCAATGGATGCTCTGCAGTGAATGGGTGCCGTCAGAATGAGAGTCCAAACAGCTGATAAAAACATCACTACAATCCACTCCAGTCCAGTCCTTCCGTTAAAGTCTTGTGACGTGAAAAGCTGCATGTTTGTAAGAAACAAATCCATCGGGATGTTTTTAACTTCAAACTGTTGCTAAAATATGAGTCCTTATTCCATAATATTGTTTGAATGTCTGAATCAGGAGAGAAATCTGCATAGATTAAGCACCGTTTAAAGCAAAAACAGTCTAAAACAGTATATTTGGGTGGATTTTGATGTGAGAGGACAAAAGGGGATGGACTTTTTCACTGCAGGAAGCATTGTTATGAATTATGGAGTCATATTTTAGCCAGAAGCTTAAAAAGTTTAAAACGTCTTGATTATGGATTTATTAAAAACTCGCAGCTTTTCGCTTCACAAGTCATTAATTGATGGACTGGAGTCTTGTGGATTGCTTGTGGATTATTGTTTTTATCAGCTGTTTGGACTCTCATTCTGACGGCACCCATTCACTGCAGAGGCTCCATTGCTGAACAAGTGATGTAATGCTACATTTCTCCAAATCTGTTTTCACGACTTATCCACATCTTGGATGGCCTGAGGGTGAGGACATATTCAGCAAATGTTAATTTTTGGGTGAACTACTCCTTTAAAACCAAAACACACAGCGTCATCCCGGCTCTCTTTACAGCAGTTCTCATGAAACGTGTGGGTTTCATCTCAGTGTCACACTAATAAGAAAAGGGTAAATGTGAATGTGCTGTTCTTAAGGGTGGAGTGATGAGAAGAGAAATGAAAGCTGTCTGTGTGTGTGTGTGTGTGTACTGGTTTATATATCCTGGTGGGGACTTAAACCTGACTACACACAGACTCATGGGGACTCGTGTCACGGTGGGGACCTAAATTGTGGTCCCCACGGGTACAAAAGCTTATAAATCATACAGAATGAAGTTTTTTGAAAATCTAAAAATGCAGAAAGTTTCCTGTGAGGGGTAGGTTTAGGTGTAGGGTTGGTGTAGGGCAATAGAATATACGGTCTGTACAGTAGAAAAACCATTACGCCTATGGAGAGTCCCCACAAGGATAGCTGACCAGACGTGTGTGTGTGTGTGTGTGTGTGTGTGGTGAGAACATGTCGAGTCAGTGATCTGCATTGCGCAATCAGCCCAAACATCCAGATCTTCCTCTCACTTCTGCTTTCCTATCTAAAGCACGAACTGGAATCATTAAGACTTTTCCCCCATCATATTCAAACTGTTTTCAACAAGCTATACTGAGAATTTCACATCAATTAATCAACTAATTTACAATCAACAAAATTCCCCAAAACCAGTTGAGTAGACTGTAAAACTGATGTTCTTCCTCAGTATATCTGAAGAGTTCAGATGCAAAAGCCTCTAAGTGTCGTTTAACATTTCCTTTTAAAATGAGCATTTTTATCAGGCTTCTATGTGTAGTTTCAGTAATTTCACTTTAATGGTGATGAATAGGTTTTTTTGCTATTAAAGTGAAATAGCTGAACATAAAACATAGGAGCCTGAGAACAATACTAATTTTAGCAGAACATTTCAGATGTTTCTTTCAACTTGTTTTCTAGTGCAAATATCTAAGATGCATTTACTTGAGATGCAAAATGACACCGAATTAGAAGTTTGTTTATTACTAAAGCAAAAATAAATATCTGCCATCAGGTTCAGAAAAGTTAATTTAAATGGAAAACAAGTACTGACGATATCTGTTCTTGTTTAATCAATTATATATATATATATATTTTTTAATTTTGTAATTTTGCATCTTAACTAAATGCATTTTGATTTAAGACTGTTTAGATATTTGTACTGGAAAACAAGACAGAAATGTTGAGGAACGACGCCATTTTTATTCAATGTTATTGTAATTTTGAATCATATTTCTCTGTTTTTCCAAATAAGAATATTTAGAGAACTCACACTGTTCTCGCAGACATCTAACAAGTTGCATTAAAAATAATAAAACTCATAAAAAGTCCCCAAATTGAGTTATGAACAGACTTCATATTTTATAGGAAAGTGTTTCTTACTAGATTCATAAACTCTCAAACCTATAATGCGCAGAAGAACCTCAGTAAATCCAAACCCAACAGCGCTGCTCACATGATAACTGACTGAACTCTCCTCAGATCTCTAGAGTTTTCATCCATATCACTTAGAAATGTAAAAAGATATTGAACAACATTTTAACATTCATTCATAAAATAACGTTTTTTTATAACTTATGGAACATATATTGGAACCATGTGTTTTTAAAACATTAAAATGTCCAGTTTTCCTGTCGTTATTTAAAGGTTACAAAAACGTTTCTTATAATGTTCTACTAATTTTAGTTTTATCCAAACATAACGATACTTGAACGTTTATTTTAAATGCTCTGAGAACGTTAAAATGTCCAGTTTTCATGATAAAAACATTACATAAAGGTTACGTTCTAATATATATATTTTTTTTTTTTACCTAAAATATAACGTTACTTGAGTGTTTATTTTAAGAATGTAAATATGTCTAGTTTTCTTGTTGTACTTATGTTATTTAAAGGTTTCTTCGAATGTTCATCACGTAAAAATAACATCATGAGGACGTTCCAGAATGTTGTTCTAAGAACGTTTTCACTCAATGTAATGAGAATGTACATCAAATATTAATTACGTCACAATGTTCCATAAACTGCTTTGTCCAAACATTTATATAACTTTTAAAAAACATTAGTAAACGAGAGAATGTTCCCTGTTAGCTGGGATCACGTAAAATGAATGTGAAGAGCCACTTAGATCATCTGGCGAGAAATGTTTGAGCTCTGATTTTTGAATGTATCTTTGTAAATCCGAGCACAATTGGAGACACTGTTGAGATTCTTCTGAAACTCTAGAGGAGACACATGTAGGACTTCAGCAAAGGTCTCTGTTTGCCTTCTAAGAGAAATAACTGAGAAGTGAGCTAGATCTCCTCTGTAGTTTTGATCTTACAGTAAGATGAGCGCTGGTTTTCTTACCCTGAACTTGAGCGAACAGGATTCCACAGACGAACAGGAGAGCAAACATCTCCGAGCGGCTCCTGTTCAATAGTTCGTCTCAGAGGAAATAAGGACTGATCCTTTGGTCCTTCAACACAGACTTCTCATTTCTGTCTGACAGGATATGACCGCAGCAGCAAATCAGCTGACCCAGCCTAGAAACACCATCAAAAATCAACATTTTGTGAAGATTAAGTCTATTAGTGTATACAGAAATCATGTGGATCAAAATTCAGCGAATCCAAATGTCACAAGCAAACTCAGGTTTTTTATTTTTTTGTGTTTTACAGATCAAATATCTAAACATTCTTAAATCAAGATGCATTTAGTGGATAATCTAAAAAGGATCATTTTTAAATCTTGTTTTCAGAAAATATATATTTTTTAAAATAATTTTAATTTAAATATTTTTTCTTGTCTTAAGCATAAGCTCACTGACCATTTTTAGAAGAAAACAAGACTTAATATTGTATATTGTTATGCATCTCAAGTAAATGTATCTTGATTTTTAGATATTTGTATTGGAAATGACAAAAATACTAAGTGAGATTTTGTATTATTTTTTTTTGTAGAGAAGCTCCAAAGTTTTAGATTAAAATTTATTATTTCATTTTTTTTAATGTAGTTTTTATTTCCAGTTAGTAATTTTAGTTTTTAATATACATTTATTTCATTTATTTGAAAAAAATCACATTTTTGTTTTTCATAAATATTTTTATTTTATTTTTAGCTTTATTTCAGTAAACAAAAATGTTTTTAATAGCTTAAAAATCCATTTATGCTTGAAATAAGAAAAATGGGGTAAGAAAAATCAACAGGATTATTTTTCTTAACCTATGGACTATAGATATTTTTTTCTTTTCCTAAGCACAAATCACTCAAATTTGATCATTTTTATGAGAAAAAAAAAAGTTTTACCTGAGTGTCAGCAAATGTCCAAAGATTGAGAAGTGAAGATCTTCATCCGAGCTCCTGCTGCGTGGCGATGATCTCCGATCTGAACAGGCCTCCAGTGCTGCGTTGGGTTTTCCGTCTGCACCTCGGTACTCAAGTGAAATGAATGTGAACCCTGATCACTGAGACGGCAGGAGTCTCTCCGTGACTTCCTGAACAAAACGCTCCAGTGTTCATTCAGCCCCATGATCAGTGTTTACATGTGAACAACAGGCCATCAACAGCTTCTTTTAATATCACATGAAGAAAGACTCCAGCTGTACTTGCCCATAATTGATTCTGTTTACTTTAAGGCTTTTTCTGTTGCTTTTTGTCTGCAGAAGGAAATACATGACTTCCAGTACACTCACATTAAACTCACATTAATCTTCAGTGAGATGTACTGAAATGAGATCTTACTGACAAACAAGGATTTATTTGTCTAAAACATTATAGTATTAGTTTGACAGACAAATGTTGTTCAATTTAGTATTTTTATATACTATTGTAGTTTTTATGCATATTTTGAATTAGGTTTTTTTTTTTACTTCAATTTGAATTTTGTTGTCGTTTTGATTTACACTTTTGTCATGTTTTTTTTTCCAATTATACTATCTATGGTTAATTTATTTTTCAATTTTAGTTTTATTTAGTGTTTATACATTTTAAAAATATAAGAAATATTTTGTATTTTAGTTTCAGTTAACAGTAATAACACTAATGTTGAGTCATAGGTTAAGATTATTTTTATTTCTTTATTTTAGTGCTTCAGCGTAAACCTATTTCAGGTAGCTGCCAAGGTAACATTTATATAAGTGTAAGTGTGTGTATATACGCACACACACACACATAGTAAGTATATAAAATAAAAAAATGATTTTAATAACATTTTTTTTTTTTAATAATTTTAGTTTTAGTAATAACCCTGATGTTGAGTCATGAGTTATGATAAACTGATAAAAAATTAAAATCTCTTGTTAATCTCAATCGTTTCTCAGACAGTAATGACACTAAATTAAGAGCAAACTGCGACTCTTGCTAAAGTGTTTCTGGGGCAAAGTTGATACTGTAGAGCGTAACGTCTCGGTTACGTATGTAACCCTCGTACCCTGAAGGAGGGAATGGAGACGTCACGTCCCGTCGCCACAGCTGCTGTACCACTGCTGAGCGGCCGGGTCACCGGCTCGGCTCCTAAGCGAAAACCTGGTGTGCATTGCACCGGCTTTTGTATTTTAGTTTCAGTTAACAGTAATAACACTAATGTTGAGTCATAGGTTAAGATTATTTTTATTTCTTTATTTTAGTGCTTCAGCGTAAACCTATTTCAGGTAGCTGCCAAGGTAACATTTATATAAGTGTAAGTGTGTGTATATAGGCAGAAGGTGCAGCACATATTCAGGTTTTCGCTGAGGAGCCGAGCCGGTGCCCGGCCGCTCAGCGGTGGTACAGCAGCCGTGGCGACGGGACGTGACGTCTCCGTTCCCTCCTTACCACAAGACCAGTTACTGCGGGAAAACACGGGCTCTGAGACTATACCGTGGATTTTACACATATGGGATCCACTTAGGTCTCTACATATGTAACCCAGCCCTCTACCGGTTCTCACGGATTCATCGAGTGAGGGCCTGGTGCCGGAGGCTCTGCCACATCTGGCTGCCGAGGGGACGGGGGAGCTCGACAGGGTCTACGATATGGACTCTCTGGAGCAGTTTTAGCAAGCCGACCCAAAGCCGGGGCCTCTCAGTGCTTCTACCCGTCTCGGAGCACTAGAGACAGGTCCCAAGAGGGTATAAAGGGGGGCCGTGGAGGATTTAGCCTTCTCACCCCCCTAAGGAACCTGATGACCAGGTCATGCTTCCCCACTGACTTCCCTACCACGGGGTTGTGGCTGGTAGCAATCGCAGCCACGTAGACTTTAAGGGTGGAGGGAGACAGCCTTCGCTCC